TCACACTAAAGCCCCGTTCACACCAAGAACGATAACTATAAAGATAACGATATTAGCGTCCACACCAGCGAACGATATCGTCTGTTTATTCTAAGCGCACGCGCGTCTGCCGCTTTAAATTCTCGAGCTCGTTACAGCAGGATGGATTCTGATTGGCTGTCAATGTTTTTATCGTTCATCAGCTGGAGAAAAATCGTTTTGAAAGTGATCACAATGATATCGTTCCTCTGTATCGTTATAGTTGTGGTGTGGACTCTGCTATTCTTTAATATTGAGAACGATTTTTAGAACTATATCTTTATCGTTATCTTTATAGTTATCGTGCTTGGTGTGAACGGGCCTTAAGAACAATAACTATAAAGATATAGTTCTCAATATCGTGAGAAAATCGTTCTCAATATTAAAGAATAGCAGAGTCCACACCACAACTATAACGATAAAGGCACAGAGAAACGATATCGTTGGAATCACTTTCAGAACGATTTTTTCCAGCTGATGAACGATAAAAACATTGACAGCCAATCAGAATCAATCCTGCGAATTTAAAGCGGCAGACGAGTGTGCGCTTTGAATAAACGGACGATATCCTAATATAGCTAATATAGTTATCTTCATAGTTATTGTTCCTGGTGTGAACGTGCCTTATGGCCTATTTAGATAACTTTGGATCACACGGCATTGAATGCACATTTATTTTTACGGTTTCATCGGTTTAAATCGAAAAATGTAGCATCGAAACACTTAAGAGCAGCTGTAAATGTGTTTGTCTAATTTTTTTTAATCCAAATTCTCACATAATGCAGCTCAAAACAAAATTTGATATATTTTTTGGCCAATTTATTATCATTGATTATTTGAAGACTATGAATGGGAAATATGGAAGGATTCATTATAAAGACAAATGTAGCATAACTCGAGGTCATCCGTGTGGATTTGTAGTGCAATTTGTAGGTACAAAGTTTAGTTTTTACATCACATCGATTATTTTTCATTTTTATATTTACTTAAACTGTGTGAGCTGATGATTTGTTTTATGTATATCTATACATTGTATATCCATGAATTGTGAGTATTGGTGATGAAACTGCTGTTTGAGAGGCCCTCTATAGACGGGGCACGCCACTCGACAACCAGAGGCTAAATCTACAGTATAAGCAATGAAATTCCTCCGATTTAGATCATTTAAAGACTCAAAGCTTTGGAGCGCTTGACATGCACGGCCTGGCTCTTGTAGAAACTGTGAATCAAGCAGTTAGCTGGCATGCCAAAGCTGTAAACGTTCATGGATTCATCTCTCTCTGTATTATTCAGAAATGTAATCTAAAGATCAGATAGTTGGGATGTTTTCTTCTTCACCAGACGATCTAAACACAGGACGGTGACTATGCAGAGTCGGGCTAATAAATGAGCTTGTATGTTTTCCATGTGCTTTAGTGAGATGAGAGGAAACTCTGGTGCCAAAACGACAATGTGACTGTGTCTTTGGTGACTGTGATCAGTGGGAAGCGTGACGGTGGACGGATGTCCGTCTGAGAGGACCTCTTTGTGTTTCTGTTTGTTCTCGTTCTTCTAATTGATCATCACAGCTGGGTTTGATTTTGTATTCTGTGGAAGTAGTTGGAGAAAAAACTATTACACTGGATGTTTTTTTATACATATGAATATAATATACAACGTACATAAATTAAGAGATGTCTGTTACACATCAGAACAATAAACAGAGAGAACCAATACTGTTGTGTTTGTGATCGTTTCTTGTGTAATTATTGACCAGTGAGATGCTAACAAGGAGACCCAATATCAAAGCAGTCATCTCATGAGTAATTAAATAGTCCTTTCTCTTTTCAAATTTGATTGTACTATTAAAACATGTATCGTTCAGAACTTTCCGGTTCCCCTCAGTCCTAAAGTTAACAGTTAAAACCAAAAGTTTCCGTTGTCAGATACAAAAGCTGGGAGTGAAAACTTTTGAACCGGATGATTATTTTGTTTAAATATCATATTTTTCATTTAGTACTGCCCTTCATACTTGTACTTATTATGTCTTTGTGGGCCAAAATAAATATAATTTACATCTTCAAATTCAAAATGTTTTCACTGCCCAGCTCTTAAAGGGATAGTTCACCCAAAAATGAAAATTTGATGTTTAATTGGACATAGTGCTGTATTAGAGGTAAAAAATTATATAAATACTGTTCGGTTTCTGGCACAAACCGATCGTTTCGTGTCTTAGGACATCAATGTGTCGTCACGAGCCGCAGGGTTTAATTTGGATTTGTCTGTGCATGTTTTTTTTACTCTCATAGATTTTGTTACCATTGCCATGCATTATACGACTGATAGACTGCAACGGATGGCGTTCAAAATAATACTTTGTGTTCTACTAAAGAAACAAAGTCACCTACATCTTGGATGCCCTGGGGGTAAGCGGATAAACATCACATTTTCATTTTTGGGTGAACTATCCCTTTAATGCATCAAGTTCCTTCTGGAGCATCAGTGAATGTTTTAACCTTTTGTAATAGTTGTGTATGAGTCCATCAGTTGTCGACAGTGTGAAGTTGGATCTCAAAGTCATACAGTCACTGCTGGAAAAGGTTCAAATATAAAAAAGATGCTGGAAAACCAAAGACCTGAAGGATTTTTCTGAGGAACAGTGGGCAGTTAAACACAGTATTACAAATCAAGCATATGTAAATTTTGAAAGGAGTCATTTTCAAATTCAGCTATTATTTTGTGTTGTGGACTATATGTAAACATCTTTTAAATCAAATATTGTATTCAGGACAGGGCTAAATAAAATAACAATTTTAATAACATTTATTATTAAAAAAATAACAAAATCTAATAAATAACATTTGGAAGATTCTTCAAGGTGTATGTAAACTTTTACCCACAACTGTATGTGTGTGTATACAGAGCTGGCTAGTAACATGTAATCTGGATTACATAATCAGATTAAGTACTTGTAATTAGATTATATTAGATTTTAAAATAATCGTAATCAGACTACAGTTACTTTTTTACTGATTACATAATTACATATTATTCACACTACAGAAATATATCATTCATAATTTATTGAATCTCCCTATTTTTATTCCTTTTTCATCTTTAATAACAACGAATGGAACTAATTTTCTTTTTTTTTTATTTACATTTTTTATCGATATGGTATTTTTATATCGATATGGTACAAGATTATCTTATTTAAATCAATGTTATAAACGATTTAGGTTAAAAGTAATGCAATCAAAAAGTAGTCCGATTATATTACTTAACATGTGTAGCAATGTAATGGATTACGTTAGTAACTACAATTTTTGTCATGTAATTTGGAATCGGTAATGGACTACAATTAGTATCTACCCAGCACTATGCCAATGAAAAAAACCTGAAAAACGTTTGGGACATTCCAGTTAAAGTTTCACATTTTTGTTTTTATGAGTTACGTATTTAAAAAAAAATGACTAGGTTTACGTGTTCAACGTGAGTTTTGCAGACAAAACTCACCACGTTATTCCATATACTCTGATGACCTCGCGACGGCCCGACGTAATGACGTCACCCGCCCTTCAGCCAATCAGCGCTCGAGCTCCGCAGCACTTCCTCGAGGCCGCGTAACCAAGCGGGAGCAGCGCGAGCGGGTCGGAAGTCTCATTCCAAGAGGGGAAAAAAACAAATAAAACAATAAAGCAACAACAAATAAACACTGTCAAAACTTTGCGAATATGGACCACCACACAAAATACTGAACTGCGGATTGATAAAGCAGCGCGAGGACTGATAAATAAGCGCACTTATGGCGGATTGAGTAAGAGTTAGCCGCTGCTGCTAACGCACGACACTAGCTCCCTGATTCATGATTGACTGATTTCAGCGGCATTTCAGCTAAAAACTGCGCTTTCTGGAGCATCTCAAAGTCAGAAGTGTGCGCGGTGGTAGTAGAGACCGTGTTAGTGAGTTACAGGAGGCGGGTTTGGTTGTTTTCGGCGGCCGCTGGGCTTGAGGCCTGCTCTATGAGGAGCTAGTTGAACAGCTCAGCTCACTGGGTTTAACGCACCAAGCAGGTATATTCACAGGTGTAACGTTAGAGAGGTAAACAGCTGAAGATGTCGGCCCAGGCGCAGATGAGAGCCATGCTGGACCAGCTCATGGGCACTGGCAGAGATGGTGAGTGTTTCTTTCATTCCCGGCAAATCGAAACTAAACCATGCGTTTGACTCGGTCAGTGCTTCGTTACTTTATTTGTTGTTTTATACTGTATATATTGATACTCCCTTGATCTGTTCGACAGACCTGTTCAGAAGTCACGGTTTTTTGTGATTCATGGCTCTCGTGATTTGGTTGCATCGTTTAATAGCACTGAATTTAGTGATTTGATTGACTGGAATTGCGTCAGATTGATGATTTCCAATGATTTTGTCGCCATAATTTTATAATTACTGCTATTCTCACTTTTCGATTGGTCCATCTCATGATTCTAACGATTCTGTCGGTATAATTAAAAATCATAAATCTTATGCTTTGGTTGGAATAATTTCATATCAGTCAATTATTTCGTGGGAATCGTGATTTTTATGATTTATTTGCCATGAAAAGAATCACAAGTCACATGATTTGGTTGACAACTTATGATCACATTATTTAATTTAAATTTTTGGCATGAATTTGTCAAAACGTAATACGTTCAACATAATTTAGATTTGTATTATTTGGTTGTCAGGACTTTGTGAAATTGTATTATTCTCTTTTTTTTGATTGACTTAATTTTGTAAACATCATTATTGGTTCTCATGATTTCATCGACTGAATTTGATGGAAAATCATACATTTTATGATTTCATGTCTGTTAGATGAAAATCAAATTGTTAATGATCAATTAGGCCTATTCATTTGCCTTGAAAATAATCATGATTTTGTATATATATAATTTGATATTTTGTCGATTTTGAATTATTCTACTTGTTTGGCATGATTTGGTAAAAACTATTTTGATTGGCATGGTGTCATATTAAATTTATTGATTTTCATGATTTCATTGGCATGGGATTAATTTTATCCCTTTTTTTTGAATGACATGATTTGTAAACTTCTTTTGATTGGTGTGGTTTCTGTGTTTTCATGAATTTATTGAATTTTAAAAATTTCATGACTTGATTTGATTAAAACTCCTGTGCTTTGGCTGAGATTATTTATGTCATAAATTCATTGATGTTGATTGATGATATGAGAACCATGAATATGATGATTAATTTATTTGCGTATTTTGGTTGACAATTACATTATCTTACATAATTATTACAATCAGTCTAATTTTTGATGCAGTTATGTCAAAATTGTAGTTTTATCATCAGTGTCATAATTCTCAAGGTTTTTTTATTGAGAATCATGATTTGTTGTTTATTTGATTGAGTGTCTCGCTGTGTGTTTGACACGATGAGAATCATGATTTGATGATTTTTGATGCTCATATAATGTGTGGATCTGGTTTCTTGCAGGAGACACGATGAGACAGCGGATCAAGTTCACGGACGAGCGGGTGTGTAAGAGTCATCTGCTGGAGTCATGTCCACATGACATACTGTCTGGAACCGTAAGTGTCTCATTATCGTTCCTCGTATCTGTGGGGTTGACTTTACTCATCTAAAACCGGCTTGATAATTGCAGGACTGTATTTATGCTTCGCCACAGTTGCATTATGACATTGAAAGGTTGCCTGAGTTTTCTAAACGGTTGTGTTTGTGGTTGTGCAGCGCATGGATCTGGGGGAGTGTGTGAAGATTCACGATCTCGCTTTGAGAGCAGATTATGAGATCGCATCTAAACAGCAGGAGTATTTCTTTGAGCTGGATGTGAGTATGAACCCTTTACATTCATATGCATTTGACTGTATGTGCTTATAAATGGCTGATCGTGCCACGTCTCCTCAGGCCACAGAGCACCTGCAGTCCTTCATCGCAGACTGTGACCGAAGAACCGAACTGGCCAAGAAACGGCTGGCCGAAACGCAGGAAGAGATCAGCGCTGAAGTGGCTGCCAAGGTAAAACCTGACGATCTGCGCTGGGGAATCCCTGAACAATCTCTGCAACACGAGATTTCACTTGCACATCATTTTCATATTGAAGTTTCACACACCTGCTTTTTGTGCACAGACCAGCGACTAGTGAGTCATGGTCCACAGCTCTGATATAAACTGACTTTTTATGAAGAAAAAGGAGGATGGGCCCTTCAATGTGTCCTGTTCCAACTTCCTGTTTCGATAGGAAGTACATGCAAACAGAAAATAAATCCACTCAATTTATTTTCTTTTTAAAGAGACCATATCCTACAGAACCTTGTTTCCACCACAGAATAAAAAGGTTGATTGCAAAATTCCACAATTTTGATATAAGTTTATATCTCACAATTTTTCGTTAACGGCTCACAATTCTGATGTTTTTCTTTTAGAATTTTAAGTTTATATTTCAAAGTTTTAAATAAGTCTAAAGCTAAAATGTAAACTTAGAATTCTGAGAAAAACAATTCTTAATTGTGAAATATAAGCATAGAGTTCTGAGAAAAGTCAGAATTGTGAAGTGTAAACTCCAAATTATGAGAACAATAGTCCAAATTGAGAGATGTAAACAGAATTCTAAGGAAAAAGTCTGAATTGCAAGATAAGTCAGAATTCTGAGGGGAAAAAGTGTCAGAGTTGCAAGATGCAACAAAAAAAGTTTGAATTGTGAGATAAGAGTTCAGAATTCATGAATTCAGAGAAAATAAGTCTGACTTGTAAAGTGTAAACTCTTGAGTTCTGAGGAAAAAAAGTCTGAATTATGAGAGTAAACGCAGAATTCTAAGAGAAAAGTCAGAGTTGCGAGATGTAAACTCAGAATTGTGAGGTATGAACTAGAGACCTGCGCTCCCGCGGGAGTACCGCGGAACTCAACGCAACAGGGTGCGGCGCGGGACAACTCTTGATGGGCCGGTGCGGGTGCGAGCGGGAAGAGACTCGTGTGTGTGTGTGTGTGTGTGTGTGTGTGGGATGCGGGAGAATAAAATGATTCACGGGACTCCCGCAAAATAGAAATATCGCGGCGCGGGACAACTCTTGATGGGCGAGAGCGGGTGGGAAGAGACTCGTGTGTGTGCGGGATGCGGGAGAATAAAATGATTCGCGGAACTCCCGCAAAATAGAAATCATCTAAACATAAAGTGTCTAAAACATAAATTGTTATTTATCTGTTGCACAAAAGCAAAAAAACAACTAATATTAACATTAAAATGATTGACATGCGCAAACTAGGCATAGTTACTTTCTATTTATAAAGGGTTGCGCAATGTCGCCAATCACAGACTCAGCTGTTGATTTCTGGAACGCAATGGCCAACCAGAGGTGATTAAGTTAGAATCTACTCACCGCAGTGCTGAAATTGTGTGCTCACGAATCCTCTCATTGTGAAAGATTCGTTGTGCATACATTTATTGTGTTATAACAAAGCTTTATGAGATCGCGATTAACTGAGATGTCAGCTTTTAGTGTTAATAAAGGAAGCGCTGCTCGCATTCTGCCATGCCAAACCATGCACGCAGCAGCACATGCTTGCTTTTCTGTTGTGAATGTTGATGCTTAGCCTAAATAACAAATATTTTATCGGGAGTGTTTATGCTGGGATGTTGTGGAGCTTAGGAGATGTTACAGAACCATTTTATGTAAATTTCTTCAATGTACTGAAAAAAATCTATATAGATTACTTTTATGCGGGCTTTTGTGGGTGGGAGCGGGACAAAACATGAATGTCGCGGGCGGGAGCGGGACCACATCCATCCCGAAAAATCCATGACTGAAAAATCCATCCCGCGCAGGTCTCTAGTATGAACTCATGATTGTGAGAAGTAAGAATAGTGGATTATGTCACTATTGAATTCTTTAGTTTTTTTTTTCATTTGTGGCAGAAACAGGCTTCCATAATATCTTGCCATTTGGTAGCTTTTAGTTCTTTTGCCTGAGATAAGTGTATAACATTATTCAAGGTTTTTTTGTTTTTTCAACCACAAAGAATGTAATTTTTCATGCCCTTTTGCCACCCTCTCTGACCTTTGCTCAGAATCTGTCTGTTTTTACAGCTGTGACTAATCTTGATGTGCTCTGATTGGCAGGCGGAGCGTGTGCACGAGCTGAACGAGGAGATCGGGAAGCTGCTGGCGCGAGCGGAGCAGCTGGGCGGCGAGGGGAACGTGGAGGAGGCGCAGCAGGTGCTGGAGAAGGTGGAGAAAACACGCACCCTGAAGAAAGAGGCAGAGGTCGGTGTGGGGTCAGAGGTCATGGTGGAAATATCATTGTGGTCCTCAGTTCTAGCTCTAGATCTTAAATCACGAATAAAATTTGATTAGGTATTTGTTGTTGTTTTTGTTTTTTTATTTATTTATCAGTTTACAACAATACAAAAAAAATCTACATTAAATAGCATCAGTGTAGACAGATATGAAAACATACATCATCAAATCCGATTTGTTAACAAATTAAAACTGAAATCAAATGATAGCACATGAATGGTCAGTGAGATAACAATGGATATTAAGTTATATAGGCACAAGTCAAAGGGTGCATACTAGGTCCAAAAACATATTCCAGGTCTCTAAGAAGATGTGGCTGTATGTTAAATATTCCATGTGCAGTGTGTCGTTTATGATATTCTCAGATAATCGATTAGATGTGTTTTTGTATTTGCAGTTGATTATGTTGTTGTGCTTAGGACATCTACCGTAACTCCATGCCGGCCTCCAGCTTCCAGCAGCAGAAGCTGCGGGTGTGTGAGGTTTGCTCCGCTTACCTCGGTCTCCACGACAACGACCGCCGCCTCGCCGACCACTTCGGAGGGAAACTTCATATAGGTTTCATCGAAATCCGGGAAAAACTTGAAAAACTGCGGGTAAGATGACGGCTCACAGCTCAGTCGGGGCTGGTGTCACGCAGCTCTTCATAGACGATCTGCTCTGTGATTCGCAGAAGGCTGTGACGGAGAAACAGGAGCGCATGCGCACGAGGAGAAGAGAGGAGCGCGACAAAGAGGAGGAGCGAGCCAGAGAGTGGGAGGTGGAGAAAGAGAGGGAACGCGAGCGGGAGCGCGAGAGGGAACGAGAGAGAGAGCGCGAGCGGGAGAGAGACAGAGAGAGAGAACGCAGGAGGTCCGTCTTGGTGCTCTGCTTTCATTTCATTCCCCCAGATGTGTGCAAATCATAAGCAGGCCTTGATATCACAGCTGGAAAAGTATCTCCATATTTATGTACTTTCCTTCAAATAAGTGGAGCTCTAATAGTTCAGGCAAACCAAATCACGTTTATTTCTGTAGCGCTTTATACAATACTAATTGTTTCAAAGCAGCTTCACCGTAATAAAAAGTAAAAAAGTAAATATAATAAGAATTAAGGTTGTAAAATATATATATATACAGTATCTCACAGAAGTGAGTACACCCCTCACATTTTTGTAAATATTTTATTATATCTTTTCATGTGACAACACTGAAGAAATGACACTTTGCTACAATGTAAAGTAGTGAGTGTACAGCTTGTATAACAGTGTAAATTTTGTACTCACTTCTGTGAGATACTGTATATATTTTAAACAAATTCAATGTCAGCAGTAGAGCAGCTCTACAGAGGAGAATAAGATCATTATTCTGTTGGGTTCCATGTTGATTCGGGTCGGTTTAGATTCAGTTCAGTTCGGATTCAATAACTGTGTTCTCTCAGCTCTACAGAAGACAATAGTGTCATTATTCAGCTCAGTTATTAAGGGTTGATTAATTTCAGATTCACTTTTATTTCAGTTCAGATTCAATAACTGTGACCCAAAGTGTCATTATTCAGATTGACTGAGTTCAATGTTGATTCAGTTCATTATATGTGACCCTGGACCATAAAACCAGTCATAAGGGTCAATTTTGTGAAATTGAGATTTATACATAATCTGAAATCTGAATAAATAAGCTTTCCATTGATGCATGGTTTGTT